CTTCCTTCCTCCCTCCCTCCCTTCCGTCCTTCCTTCCTGCCTTCCTTCTCCTCCTCATCCTTTTCCTCCTCCTCCTCCTCCTCCTCCTCTTCCTCCTCCTGTTCCTGCTTCTCTTCCTCATCCTCCTCCCCCGCGCGCCGCCGCGGCCGCCCCGCAGGTCGGCGGCGAAATCCCGACATAATCGGCTGCGAGCGAGGGGGGAGCGGAGAAGGAACAGGCCTTCTCAGAAGGCGGTCGGACTTCTCAGACGCCCTCGCGCCATCTGTTTGATTGTCTTCGGGGAAGGCCTTTGGACAACTCCTCAGAAGGCCGGAGGACTTCCGAGCCTTCTGAGAAGGCCTTCTCCTTCTCACCTGCCCCCCTCGCTGGCCGCCGACTGAGATCCGAGGATGTGGCTTGTTAAATCCAGCGTTTTCCGTATATCTCGGCCGCTGGGGCCCGTCATCGGACCGGGGGGCCATCAGGAATGGACCTGCGACGAAACAACCACCCTTTAAGTCGGGCATGCCCCATCCGCGGGAGGCGTGTTCAAGAATAGTAGAAGATGTTCCAGGCACGATTTGTCGTGTTCCTTTCTGATGCTGTTCTATGTGTTTCTTTAACGTGTATCTTTCTTCCCAAATCCGCCCGCAGGAGGACATGTCCGACCTCAAACCACCCCCGAGGAAGGGGTCGGGACCTCCCCGGGGCCGCGGATTGGGTCCGAGCCCTGCCCTCGCCGCCCTCGCCGATACTCAGCGATGTGGGCATCGCCAAAGGGGAGGGGGACAGCGGGTCCTACGATCTAGGCCTCCCAGGTGGGGTCGGACGCATCGCGACGCATCGCGGATGCATCGGCGACAGCCAGCTCAGCTTCAGCCAGTTGCCCACCCGGCGGTAGGTTCTGATCACGCGCTCGGTCGCTGTATAATTACGTAGGCTCGCGCGTAGCCCGCTCGACCTTTTCGGACGCTTCCTGCGCTTTCGCTCGCGGCCGCGAAAAACAAAGGATGCATCGGCGATGCACATCGATGTGGGGGCCGATTTGCTTCAGGTCGACTTCGCCGATGTATCGGCGATGCGGCGAGATCCTCCGATACCATCTGCTCGGACCCCACCTGGGAGGCCTCTCGTGGGGGGAAAGCGGGCCCTGCGAGGGGAACGGGTCCTGAGGTGTTTCTCCGTTATGGGATTCTGCGGGCCCTGCACGGGCCTTGCACGGGCCCCTCGGGAACTGTCAGGAAACGGCTCAGGAGGAAGCGCTCGTCCTGGGGGAAAGGCCCCAGGGTCCTGTGCTCGCTTGCCTCAGGGCCCGTTGCCCCCCCCTGCGGAATTCGGGCAGCTCGATGGGCGGCTGGTGTCAGAGGCTCGGAATTCGTGGAACGCGTGGCGAAATCCGAACCCTACCCCCGCCTTCTCCTCCTCCTCCTCCTCCTCCTCCTCCTCCGCCTCCTCCTCCTCCTCCTCCTCCTCTTCCTCTTCCTCCTCCTCCCCCTCCTCCTCCTTCTCCTCCTCCTCCTCCACCTCCTCCTCCTCCTCTTCCTCCACCTCATCATCATCAATTTCTTTTCCTTGTAATAATTTGTCCCTGTCGCACGCCGAGACCAGTTTTCAGAACGGGCCGGGCGTTTTGTCTGAGTCTTCCTCACCGCTTATGCTTCTGAAGCTTAAAGTTGGCAACAGCTTCGCGGATTGAGGGCGGGTCGTTTTCAAAATATGGTTTTCTTTCATAGCGCGGCGCAAATTCGTTTCAAACATTTGCAAGAGTTTGGCGGATTGAGGGCGGGTGATGTTCAACATGTGGCTCGTGCTTCAGCGCGGCGCACATTCGTCTTAATTATTTGCAAGAGTTTCACGGATTGAGGGCGGGTGCTTTTCGAAATGTGGCTCTGGGTTTAGCGCGGCGCACATTCGTCTTAAACATGTGCAAGAGTTTCACGGATTGTCGGCGGGTGTTTTTCAAAATGTGGCTCTTGCCTTAGCGCGGCGCGCATTCGTCTTGATCATCTGCAAGAGTTTCACGGATTGAGGGCGGGTGTTTTTCAAGATGTGGCTCTCGCCTTAGCGTGCCGCACATTCGTTTTAAATATTTTCAAGTACTTCACGGATTGAGGGCGGGTCTTTTTCAAACTGTGGCTCTCGCTTTAGCGCGGCGCACACTCGTCTTCAACATTTGCAAGAGTTTCGCGGATTCCCATCGTCAACGTGTCAGACATGTTGTTTTGCAAGGATTCAGGAGCATGCGTGTGTAACAGTATGTTGGTTCGCTCTGTTAAAGTCCCAGGAACGGCGTTCTGGCACGATTCAGGGTTGTCAAGACGCAACAGTCAGGTTTATCCGTGGCGTTGGAATCTCGAAAACAATGGTTTGGCATGCTTCAGGATCTTCAAACGGTTGTATTCCAAAGAGGCACTTCCTTCAATGGAAAAATGTAGGGGCCTGTGAAGAGGGAGCTTGGAGGGAGGGTGTATTCCAGCATCGTTGATGACTCTTGGGTTTGCACTGGTCATCCTCCTCCTCCTCCTCCTCTTCCTTCTCCTCCTCCTCCTCCTCCTCCTCCTCCTCCTCCTCCTCCTCCTCCTCCTCCTCCTCCTCCCCCATCCTCCTCCTCCTTCCTCCTCCCACCGATTCAGGGGAGCCGAGGGTGGGCGGGGGTAGGCCTCGGCTGCCGCCAGCCAGGAGGAGCCCGGCGCGCCGCCGGAGCTCGGCGGGCGGCGGCGGAGCCCGCCGCGGGAGCCCGCCGCGCGGGCGGGCGCTCCGGCGGCGGCGCACTGGCGGCAGGGCGGCGCGTCGGGGGGGGGCGGGTGCCACGTGGGCTGAGGGGCGACCGGCCGCGGCTCTGACTCCTCCTCCTGCGCCTCCTGCGCCTCCTCCTCCTCCTAGCTCTTCCTCCTCCTCCTCCTCCTCCTCCTCCTCCTTCTCTTCCGCCTCCTCCTCTTCTTCCTCCTTCCCCTCCTCCGAGCGCGGCCGCAGGCGGGTTGTGCCGTGGCTGCCTGTCCCGGGGCAGGTTTGTGGGGAGGGACCCGAGGAGCGGGAGGAGGAAGAAAGGGGGGGAGGAGGGGTAGGGGCGGGTGGCAGAATGGGGGTGGGAGGAGGAGGAGGAGGAGGAGGAGGAGGAGGAGGAGGAGGAGGCGGAGGAAGAGACGGAAGAGGAGGAGGAGGAGGCGCAGGAGAATGATAAGGAAGGAGGAGGAGGGGAGGAGGAGGAGGGAGGAGGAGGAGGAGGAGGAGGAGGAGGAGGAGGAGGAGGAGGGGAAGGAGCATTCGCGTGCTCAGCAGTGCAGGTGAGCAATTGGCCCTTCTTGTGCCCTGGCCACGTCGCTGTGCGAGCAGGCCGGAGGCTTCCCAGAGCGTGGATAGGTCCATCGCCACCATGCTTGAATTTTCGTCCATAGACTTTTCGGCCGCAGGGTCGGGGGCGTTCTTCCCTTCCCAGGCCCACTGCGCCGCCCAGCGGGGCTGCAGTCGCCTCACCCCCTTTACCTGCCTCCCTCCCCCTAGTTACCCCTACATCTTCCGCCTCCTCCTCTTCATTCCCTCCTGAAAAAGGAGGCTGTGAAGTAGTTCTTGTCAGGACTCATGCAGCGTCCTGGTGCGTTGCTCACAGACATGAGGCCGCCACATGCTGAGCAAGAGCGCTGGGCAGATCAAGTCCCACATGCGGCTGGGATCCCGGGGGATCCTGAGGAGTCCTGAGGCATTATGGGGAAGTCTTTCGATTCCTGCAGGGTTATGATTAATTCGGGTACGTCCCTCTACAGGAGGAATATTCAAACGTAGTCAAAGAAATAGTAAGGGAACGATGTTTGTAGCATGTTTGACAATGCTTGAAACTGTGTTGGGTATTTTTGATTTTTCGCCCAAAATCCGCCTGTAGGTTCGGCACGCTCGTCCTAAGATTATGAGGAGCACCGAAGGCATCCTGAGGATGTCTTTCGGGTGGGTCGGTGGGCCTGCAGGATGGAATTCCGAAGACATCACCACGGATCCGACAGCTTCCGATGGGGTCCTGAGGATTCCTGAGGGCCAAGGAAACCTGGGAACCCTGAGGAAATTCTACGTGAGTCCTGATGAATCCTGAAGGAGCCCCGAGGGAAGACAATGGGAATCCTTGGGACTCGTGGTGGATCGTGCAGGATCATGTGGAGCCCTGGGCAAAACTGGCAAGGACGCGCCGCAGGAACCCACCAGACATGCGGTGTCTTTTGGGATCATGTGGAGATTCCCGATGGTCCCTCAGTCTTCGCTTTTCTTTGGGTTTCCGTGTGCGCCAAGGGCCCCAGGGTGTTCATCATCTTTGCGTGAACGTTTTTGTGTGTGCGGCAGGGAGAAAGCACGCGCCCAAACGTCCCGAATCGAATCGTTTTTCGGAGTTCGTGGTCATGTTAGTGGACACGCTTGAGGAGTTCACGGAAGCGCAGAGCGTATGTATTTGGTGGTGCGAGGCGCGTCTGTGAAACGGTTGTTGCAATATGCTGGAATGCCGGTGCTGTGTTATTTTCTATTGCTCGCGTGCCCACTGCTGTTCTTCCATGTGGCTTCGCATCTGAAGACACGTACCTGAACCTATGTGCATCAGTGCGCGTTCCGTTTCAGATGCGTTCTCGTTCCGTTGAAGTTGGCACATGTTCGGTGTATTCCTCCTGTAGAGAGACACGCCCGACCTAACATTATCGCAGGGGGGGGCTCCCAACGCGCCCTGTAAGGCTCTCCCAGAGGCCTCCAAGACCTTCCCAAGAGGCCCGCTGACTTCCTCAAGAGGCCCCCCCAAAAAGGGCCCAAGGCGGCCCCGAGAGGTCGCGAAGAGGCACAAGTCAAGGGTATTCGTTGTGCTTCTGAAAGATTCGGACGATACGACTGGCCGTCTCCCCAGTAATCAGCCAACGACGGCCCCAGGTGCCCCACAGACCAGCTCCAGAGGGCATCGAGCCGGCCCGTGAGGCTTCCAAACCGCCCAGGACAGCCCCAAGAGGGTCCAAGAGAGCCGCAGGCGAGCCCCCAGAGAAGGCCCAGAAGAGTCTTGGGGCATGCTCCTCGGGGGCGTCTCCAATATGCACCGAGCACTCCAGGAGGCCTCCACGACGCTCCTCGGGCCTCTGGACGGCCCGGAGAGAGCCTGGAGAGGCCCCAGAATTCTCCCAAGAGATCCAGTTGAGGCACAAGCGAAGACGTTCCTTACGTTTTCGAAATGTGCTCGCGTCCTCGCTGTTTCGGGTCTCCACGGCCAGCCCAAGATGATCCCAGGGCCTCAAAGATAAGACCCAAGATGTCCCAAGAGGGCCCCAAGAAGGTTCAAGGCGGCACAACACGGCCCCGAGACGGCCGAACACGCTTCCAAGACGCCTCCAGAGGGCCCAAGAGGCCACTAAGAAAGCTCCAACACGGCCCCAGGAGGGGGCCCAGAGGGGTCTTCCAGCATTGTTTTGGGGGGTACGAGTCCCAACCTGCTCCACAAGACATGTCCGGACGCCTCCAGGACGTCCCCAAGCGACACCGAGAGGTTCCCAGGAGGCCCCACGGAGGCTAGCCAAAAGGGCGCTGAAGAGGCTTTCAAGATGCCCCAGCGAATCAGTACGCGACGCCCAGAGATGCATCCAAGACGCCCCCAGCCCACGTCCTAGACGGGTATGTGACACATGTCGATCTGTGTACTTCTATGCATGTATCTCTCTTTCTGTGTTCAGATGTGAACGCGCAGGGGTACTCGCATTCATACGTGTATGTATAGGTGTAGATGATATGACATATATATACACAAATAATCACACGTGTATATGCAAATGTCAATGTATATGTGTATAGGTGTATATGTCTATCTGCACATGTGAATATACATGTAATTTGATGCGCATACACACGTATCCGTCTATATGTGTAAGTCTATATATACATCGATGTGCGCATGTATGTTGTATGCAGTCGTACGTGCGTATTCGTGTGTGCGTATACAGAGATGTGTATAGTCATACGTTTGCAGACCGGTGTAGACGCCTACCTAGACGTGTGCCAAACTGCAAATAGTTATGAACGTGTATAGGTGTATGTGTATGTGTGTGCGCATGTGTACGTGTAGCTACCCTTTCATCTGCAACTAGATGTATGCATGCATGTATGTGTCGCTGCGTTTGTACATAGATTTGCCAGTCGGTCTTTGAGTATGTCTTTTTTTGCATTTTCGGATCCGACTCTACTCTAGGCGCCTCCCTGCTGCAGGAGTCGAACGGTGTTCCCTCTCCCCTCCTCTTCAGGGAGCGGGCGGAGATCCCACCTCCTTTCAACGCCTTCCTACTTCATGTGTCTACCCACTGCTCCCGACCGAAGCGTCCACATGTGCACAGGTACATACGTCGGTACATGTCGGTATGTCTGCATGCGTGCGGTATGCATGTATGCAGATACATCGGTACCATTCGGTCTGCATGCATGCGGTATGCATACATGCGGTCTGCATGTATGCGGTATGCATGTATGCATGTCTGATACGTCGGTACATGTACATACAGGTATGTGAGTATGCGGAGCTGCATGTCTACATACACGTGTCTGAGTAGATGCGCATCCGATGAGTAACGCGTGTCTGCCTATCTGTGTGTACGTGCGCGTGCATTCATGGGGCTCGGGAGGAGGGCCTAAGTCGCGTGGCGGACTCCAGATGCCTCGCAGGGAGAAGGACGGGGAGGCGCAGTGGAGGGAGAGAGGAGGGGACGAGGAAGGGGTGGACGGGGAGGGAGGCGGCAGAGACGTGAGGAGGGGGATGATGATGAGGATGAGGGTGCAGAGGATGAACGTAAGGAAGAATGAGGAAGCATACGAAGACGGCGGGAAGCGAGACGGCGAAGATAAGAGGTGGAGGAGGCGGGGGAGAGGTGGCGGAGCGGCCTTCTCTCCACTGCCGCTCGCGGCTGGCTGTTTTTTCCTTGGCCGGCCCCAGAAGACGCCAAGAGAGCCCCAAGGACGGCTGCGGAGAAGCCCCCCCCCACCCAGACGTCCCACGGGGCTCCCAAGAGGCACCGGGGACGCACCATCGTTGATTTTCTTTGAGCGTTTGAAGGTTTTAGCGTTCCCACTTCTCCGGGCCCCCGACAGCCTCAGATGGCCCCGGAGGCCTCTCGGATAGCCCGAACACAACCCAAGAGGATCCCCCAAGGGCCATCTGCATCTGCTCGTCGGCATCTCTTCCGCCTTCTCTGGGGCATCCTCGACCTGAGCGTCGGGAGTTCCAGAGAGCCCCCCCCCCCCCCGGCCTGAGGAGTCCCATGGGTTTCTGACTGGCTTGGGTCAGGGGGAAAAGAAACACACAGACACAATTAATCGTCGACTCCCAGGAAAATATGCAAAAATATGGGAAGTGGGGGGGAAGACAGAAACCCAGAAAATATGCGAAAATATGGGGGATATGTTTATTTGTGTGTATTTATTTGTGTGTCCCAGTTCCCCTTCATCCATGCCGTCTTTGGAGTACGTTGGAAGCCTCCGGCGCCTTCCTCGGCCGACCCGCCCCGCGGCGTTTTCCCGCGCGGCCCCAGCCTGCCCCGAGAGCCCAGAGCGCCTCCCCAGGAGGCCCCGCCCCCCACGGGAAGGGGGAGTCGACGCTTGGGGCCTTCTCGCTTGGCATCCAGGGCTCTACGTCCCCACGTAATGCATATGGGCAGCGTCTTCGGAGCGGACTGGAACCTACGCGCGTGCGTGGTTCTAGTGTACATGTCTACAAACATAGATGTGCATATCCATATCTGTACATACATATTTATGTACATACATACATACATACATACATACATACATACATACATACATACATACATACGTACGTACGTACGTACGTACGTACGTACGTACATACATACATACATACATGCATACATACATACATGCATGCATGCATGCATGCATACATACATACATACATACATACATACATGTCTGTATGTGTATATATATATGTATATACATATGCACCTGCACATACATTGCATCATATCTAGCCTTCCGCACGTACCATTCCCCCCCCCTCCCAGTGTGCATGTAATGTATGAGCTCATACACAATTCTTACGGTGTTCGCACTCAACTTTGAGGTTCTTGTTCAACAGTGTTCTGGCTCAATGTCGGACCTTCTACTCTAGCCCCTCCGTCGACAACACCGCCCCCAGTACTAACCAGCCTCCGTCTCCAACGCAACACCCACTACTCCACAGGTTCCCTCCCCAAGCGGAACGTGTAAATAACCTTCTACTCTGCCATCTTCCGTCTACAACGCAGTACACAGTGTTCAACAGCCTCCGTCTCCAATGCAACACTCAATACCCAACATGCTCCCTCCCGAAGCTCAACTGGGACATGCCCTCTTACTCATCTCCCTCCGGTTACAACGCATCACCCAGTACTAACCAGCCTTATTTTTTCAGCGCGCACTACTCCACAGGCTCACTCCCCAAGCTGGACTTGAAACTTACCTTCTATTCAAACCCCATCCGTCTACAACACAACACCCAGTACTCAACAACATCCGTCTCCAACGCAACACCCGCCGCTCAACATGCTCCCTCCCCACGCTGAACTCGAATATATTCTTCTGCTCCACCCCTTCCGTCTACAACACACCACCCAGTACTCAACAGCCTCCGTCTCCAACACAACACCGGATACTCAACAGCATCCCTCTCCAAGCTGAACTTCAAATACACCCTATTCCACCCCCTCCGTCTCCAACACAACACCCAGTACTCAACAGCCTCCGTTTCCAGCACAACACTCAGTACTCAACATGCCCTCTCCCCAAGCTGAATTTGAAACGTACCTTCTACTCTTATCCCTCCGTCTACAACACACCGCTCAATACTTAACAACCTCCGTCTCCAACACAATACCCAATGCTCAACAGTCTCCCTCCTCAAGCTGACTTTGACACTTACCTTCTACTCTTATCTGTCCGTCTACAACACACCACCCAGTACTCGACAGCCTCCGTCTCCAACGCAATACCCAATACTCAATGGGCTCCCTCCGCAAGCTAAACTTGAAAATATCCTTCTACTCCACTTCCCTCCGTCTGCAACGCACCAGTACTCACACCATTCAGGACTCAACAGCCTCCGTTTCCAACACAACACCCAATAATCAACGGGCTCCCTGCCAAAGCTGAAGTTGATCATATTATTCTACTCCACTTTCTCCGTCTACAGCACAACACGCAGTACTCAACAGCCTCCGTTCCCAACGCACGATTCAACCCACTCCGAAGCCTTCACCTCCACGGCCGTCGCACGCAGCTGAACCGCCCCTTTCCTCCTGCCATCTTCCAGGAGGAAAAGGGGGTCATGGGGCGTGCGGATACGTGTATATGTATATATATATATACACATGTACATACGTATCTCTCTATACATACAGGTGTTCCCCGTCCATGTAAGAGTTGTGTCTACTGGGGAAGATCTCACCAGAGGCTCTTAGAGGCCTCCCGCGGTTTCCGGAGGTCCGCCGGAGGTCCGGCGGCGGCCAAAACGCCCAGCATCTTGTATCTTCAGTCCTCGATTGTCGTCGGCGAAACCTTGCAGAGAGCAGCGGGGGGAGGACGGGCGACACGCGTGTGAAGGGGGGGGGAAAGCACGGGGCCGCGCGCTCGCCAGCGACCAGGTGATCGAGCGCATGGCGAAGTCAGCGCCCGGGAAGGTCACGTCCCCGCTGGAGCGGGGCCTGTACATTCAGAAGGCGTGGCGCCCTTCCCCTCACAGCCTCCTCCTTAGGCTTCCTGCTCTGAGATCTTCTTACGTTTCTGCTTCTTCGTGGGCCTCTGGAGGCCTCTCGAGGCCCCCAGTCCGGACGCCGCCGGAGGCCTCCAAAGACATCCAGACTCATCTCTGTAGATCTCCAAGGGCTTCTTGCTGCTGATCCTCGTCCACCTCCGTTTCCCGCCTGGCTATGTTGCTCTTCCTCGTTCTCGCCCGTTCTCGTTCCTTTCTTTTCCAACTCCTCCTCGCTCTTTTACCCCCCCCCAGTTCTCGCCCTCTCGCTCCTTCTCCTTCTCCCTGCCACCTCCTTCTCAGACCTGCGGACCCCCACATCCCCTTCCCCCTTCCCCTCTCCTGTCTCCCCTCACTTCGCATCCCCCCCCCCTAAATTCCCATTCCCCGACCCGCCTTCTCCCTGTCCCCTCGGAATTAACATCCAGTCCGCAAGAGGTGCCTCTTCTGCAGGGGCTCCTTGTCGCCGACTCGGCAAACGAGAAGCAGACCGATAGGACTCTCACCCCAGCCGCCGTGAAGTCTGCGAGCTTCGCGCGAAGCCCTTTCAAGAGGAGGAGAAAGAGGAGGAGGATGAGGGAGAGCAGAGGTGGAGTATGAGGAGGAGGAAGAGGAGGAATAGGAGGAGGATGAGGGAGGATGAGGAGGAGGAAAGGCAGAGAGGAAGAGGGTAAGAGAGGAACAGGGAAAGGTGGTGGTGGTGGTGGAGGGAAGATGAGAGGAAGATGAGGGATTTTGTTTCGCACGCAACATAAGTAATCAGCAGGCAACCGCACAACCCTTTTGAGACTCGCGTGTTGTTCGTCACCTTCTTTGCTCCCACGCGCGCTCTCGCGGACCGAGGCCTGGACGCCCTCCCCGTCGGCAGCGCTCCGCACGGAGCTCCCCGTGGGCGCCGCACTCCCAGATGGCATCCTGGGGCTTCTGGGGCTCTCGGAGCTGGAAGAGGAGGAGGCGAAGGAGGAGGAGGAGAAGGAGGAGGAGGAGGAGAAGGAGGAGGAGGGGGAGGAGGAGGAGTAAGAGGAGGAGGAGGAGCTGGAGGAGAAGGAGGAGGAGGAGGAGGAGGAGGAGGTGGAGGAGGAGGAGGAGGGGGAAGAGCAGGAGGAGGAGGAGGAGGAGGAGGAGGAGGAGGAGGAGGAGGAGACGGGGGACGCCCGTGCGAGCGTGAGCTGGCTCAACTGCGACGCCTCACGGCGCAGCGCCGCCCCGCCCCCCGTGGCGTGAGCGTGTCGATGCCGCCGCCGCCCGGATGGTCGTGCGCGAGGGCTCCCACCGGGTGGGCGCCGGCTGCGGTCAGCCCGCAGAGCGAGGGTGGGCAACCTTCCCAGCGGTGCTCTTGCACACTTGCCGCCTCGGTCCATCCTTGGCCACCTTGGTTGGCCGCGCCCCGCTCGAAGGCACACGCACCCAACACACACACACAACACACAACACACACACGCACACACGCACACACGCACACGCGCACACACACACACACACGCACACGCACACACACACACACACACACGCACACACACGCACACACACACACACACACCCGCACACACCTGGGCGGCCAAGGGCTTGGGCCCTTGCCAGCATCGGTGTGAGCGTATCCTTGGCGCCCTACAGACCTGCTCGGGGTCAAGCGCAGGTTGTTCAGTGCCGATCGACGCGCGGAGCGCGGACCGCGGGCGCGGGGTCCGATGTTTGTGTGCTTGCAGCCGCCAGTTTCGGCGCGAACTTTGAAGCTTTGGGGTCCTGGGGCGCCGCCGCGTCGCGGGCAAACAAAATGCTTTTGATTCCGGGGAGGGGTGTACGATCCAAACGGCCAGCTCCGCAAAGGGGCTCGCCCCGAAGGGGTCGAGTGGCTGTCGTCTCTTCCTCGGCGGAAGGCTGGCGGACGTAACATCTGCCAAGCGCGTTTTCCTTGGGAAGGTTTGCAGCGCGGGGCCAACGTGAGAAGCACTGCAGCACTGTAGCACTGCAGCCATCAAGCTTCGTCGCGCTGCTGCGACCCAAGACCCGCAGGCAGCGGCCCGCGGGGCGAACGTCCTGCAGCACTGAAGCACCGTGGCGCAGCCAGCGTTGTCGCGCTGCAGCGGCACAGCACTCTCCGGCAGCGGTGCGCTGCACCAGATCCTGCAACGCCGTAACACTATAATGCTGCATGTGCTGATCGCGCTGCAGAGCTGACGCGCTGTGGAGCTGCAGGGCTCCGGTCTCTCCCCCTCTGTCCCGCCCTTGCCCCGAGCTCCGCTCTCCCTGCTTCCTTCTTCTCTCCCGGCTGGCTTCCCTCCAGAACCGCGGGGCCATCGAGAAGCAGCTGAGAGGTGGGCTAAGGAGGAGGAGGAGGAGTAGGAGAAGCAGGAGGAGGAGGAGGAATAGGAGGAGGAGGAGGAACATGAGGAGAAGGTGAAGAGGAGGAGGAGGAGGAGGAGGCGAGACCGAGAGGAAAGACAGATCAGCGAAATGGCGAGCATGCGCCCCGAACACGCCCGCGCGCAACCGACATGACGCGGACTCGCAGGAGCGAACGCCCCCCGCCCAGATGTTCACAAAGCGGGTGGCGGCTGCGGACGCACCTTGGCGACGGCAGCTTCGCTCCGCCCGTCGCCGCCAGGAAGGTCACATCACTCCTTGTCGCCGACTCGCCGCACGAGAAGCAGGCCGAAAGGACTGCCGCCGCACGGCCGCACGGCGGCCCCCGCGTCCCTGTATCAAACCTTTCCTCTTGACAGAAAGAGCTCCTCCTCCCTGTGACCTTCGCGAGTGCTGTCGATGGCCGCCCTCATGTTCGCCTCGCACCTCGAGTATTTTTTCCGCCTCGGCACACACAGGACGACCGGCATGGCCTGAGTGTGGCTCTGTCGCCCCCGCCGCCTCTCCGGCCTTCCCCGCCTCGCGCGTGCCCTCTCCCCTGCGCCTCTCTGCGCTCCGGAGCGCTCCGCCGCTGCCCGACCGCCGTCTGACCCTCTTGCGGCCGCTGGCCAGACAAGTGCTGTCGAACGCCTTGGCTTTCTTGGAACGGGGCCTGAAAGCTTTTCCTGCCAGCGCTGCTGTGCCGAGAGGGCCCTGTGAGGACTCAGCCTCGCGTTCCTGAGCGGGCTTCGGCGCCTAGGGAATGCACCAGAAACGTGACAAATTTGCTAGTCGTGCGTCGTATGTGATGGCAGCGCGCTTTGGTTGGCGAGAGCAAGATGTGAAGAGCGTGGCTGTCAGTGTGTACGTGCCTACGCACACAGATCCAATAGCTGCGCCCATTCCGCTGGCCCACACAGTGTCAGCCATGTGATTGCCCGGCCGTAGCGATCGGAAAATTCCGAGCGTCCTCGATAAAATTGAGTTTCTGGGTGCCTTTTGGGGTTGTAATGGGCCATTTGGGGACCATCTTGTGGTCTCTTGGGATTGTCTTCGGGCTATCTTGGGGCCGGCCACCCATTGATCGCAATTCGAGGGCCCCCCGAGGCTCCGTTATGCAATATTGGAGGGTCCCCTGTCGGGGGTTCCTCCAATGTCATGCAATATCTGTAATGCTTCCACTTGCTGAGGGTGCGGATGTTGGCGGTGGCTAAGCACAGGTATTGAGTCGCTGTCGACTTGCTGGCAATAGCCGTAAAGCCCACTGCTGGGTCTCTGCTGGGTGGATACGCTAGCCCGCGACGTCCCACCCCCCCCTCCCTGTGAGGGAGTGGGAGGCGTCGGGCAGGTTCAGAAGACCACACTGCGTGGCCTCCGCGAGCCTTGGCGCGCGGCGGTCTGAAAGCTCGTGCAGGAGTCGGCGCAGCACCACTCGCTGCCCTGGGCTCGGCGCCTGATCGCGGCTGCGTTGGCACCGCTGGGGTCCGTCGGTACGGGTGCTCGTACGGCTTGACTCCGGCGCGGGTGTGCTGGACGCTCGCGGCATGCCAGGCGCGCGCAGCCGCTCCGCCCTGGGCCGCCACCGGGGGCAGGCCTGCCTGCCGTACACCTGAGGCGATGCTTAAGAAAACCTAAGTTTTCGTCCAGAGGCTCGATTATTCTTCACTTTTCAATATAAATCCCAAGATTTTGATAGAAGTTCTGGGTTTTATTCCATTTCTGAGACCATGAATTTCTTAACCCATGATTTCTTAAGCATTTCGCAGGGTGTACACCTGTGCCACGGGCAGTGCCGGGGCCCGCCAGCCCAGCCCCGCCCACGGGCGGCGAGCGGTTATCCACACCCCGTCTCTCGCGGTCGGCATCTCCCGCACGAAAAAAAAAACGCCCCGCGTCCGCAGGGCCGCGGTCCAGGGGCCTCCTCCTCCTCCTCCTCCTCCTCCTCCTCCTCCTCCTCCTCCTCCTCCCTCCTCCTCCTCCTCCTCCTCCTCCTCCTCCTCCTCCTCCTCCTCCTCCTCCTCCTCCGCGAGCCACGGCCGCCACTGGCGGCGAGGCCTGAGCCAGGGTTCGCCGCTTGGGCCCTGCCCGTCTGGATGCCGCGGCGCCTGCACCTCTTGGCCGCCACCACCAGGCCTGCACGCCGCGCCACCTTCACATCTAGGCCTCCTGGATGGGGTCGGAGCAGATGGGGTCGGAGGATCGCGCCGCATCACCGATGCATCGCCGATGCGGCGCGATGCGGAGCCCGATTTCCTCCACGCCCACGTCGCCGATGCCTCGCCGACGTCGCCGAGGCATTGCCCATACATCGGCGATGTATCGCTGATGCATCGGCGATGCGGCGCGATCTTTCGATCCCGTCTGCTCCGACCCTCTCGAGGAGGCACTTACATCTGGCGGGGACCGCCTTCGCTGCCCACGCGGGACGACTGGCCACGTCATGGCACAGCCGTTCTGCTCCGTGCATGCGGAGAGCACCCGGGAGGAAGGTATCTGCAGTGGGTTGAAGTCGGTGGACGTCTGGGCCCCAGGCGCCGAATCTTGGTGCTTGAGCCAAAGTGGGCACAGAGCTTTCGCCGAATCCTCACAGGATCCGCGAAGGATCCCTTCAATGCAAGCACTGGTTGCGGTTGCCTCGCCTCTCAGGCTCTGGACACGGAGCGTCGATGACCGTCTCGGCATCGGCCGCCATCTCTATGCCCTCTCCCGGTTTTTCCGTGCGGGCTTCTGTGGCTCTCCCTGCCCATGCTCCTCCAGGAGAGCGTGGAGGTCTCCAGAGGGCCCACGTGGCATCGCTCGGACGTGTGCATGTTTCCTTCGGCGAGGACCATCGAGGAGCATCCTTGATCACTTGGCGAGAAACCGCGCACGAAACCGAAAAAAACACAGGAAATGGACGTCCGAGCGATGGCCAGGCCCAGAGTGTCAGTGCTTCGCTGCCAGAGCCAAGCCTGTCGGGCGTCGCGCCGCAGCCCGGCGTGCAAGATTTTTATATCCGCATCCGCGGCGTCCTGGACCTTGTGTGAGGGGGCGCCAGCACGCCGAGGCACACATATCGGATGTGGATAGCCATTCTCAGGAGGGAAAAAAGGCACACAGACACAACGAATCCTCGATTCCTGAGAAAGTCTGGGAAAATATGGGAAGTGTGGGGGGGGAAGGCAGAAACCGAGAAAACATGGGAACATATGGGGCATAGTTTTATTTGTGTGTATGTATTTGTGTGTCCTGGGGCCCCTTTAAACCATTCCGCCTCCGGGGGCCAGATTCTCATCCACGTCCAATGTGCCTCAGGTGGCCTGGTGAAGAGAGCCCGCAACACCAGTGCGCAGTGAACATGGACTCAGGAACACAATTATCGGGTTAGGAGGATGGGAGTGGGAGGAATGAGGATATCAGTGCCAGTAGGCGGCCGAAGGTATAGTGCATTGCATCCAGATGCTTTGGCTCATACTCGTGATCCTCCCAATCCCTCCCCCCAACGCGATTATGGTTCTCCTCGTGGACACATCGATCGGCGTCCCCCCGACATACGAATACTATGTGTGCGTCGCCCCGCCGGGGGCGATGCGCGCACCGAGAGATCTTGTAGTATACGCGTCGTGGCGGGTGCTTTCTGGCCACACCGCTCGGGAAACGATCTACGACAAGATGGGTTCACTATGTGTTCGGGTCGGACGCGCGCCTCCAAGGAGAACATCTAGTACTACAGTATGTCCTTGCGCGTCTGCCAGCCTTGTTTTATTCAGGCGGCTGGCGTGGCTTAGCTGCGTTCGGCTACGCCGCGGCGCAGACGAAGGGGGAAGTTCTGCTAAGTGGGCAGCAGAGTTTTCCGACTACCACTCGGAGCTCCCTCGGCCAACTGGCCCACCGGTCGGCGCCACGTGCCCGGGCTCGGCGGCCCGGTGACCACGGCGGTGCGCGCCGCCCCGGCCGCGCCGCGCGCCTCGGCCCGCGTGCGTGCGCGGTGCGCGCGGGCAAGATCTGCATCCAGACCATCTTTTTCAGGCTGGTGCTTCGCCGTTCCTCCTCCTCCTCCTCCTCCTCCTCCTCGCCCTCGACACCAACTCCGTGACATTTTGAATCGGCTTCATGGCACTTGATCGCATTACATTGTTAGACCTTCATTACCACCGGTCCGTGTGGGGAAAAACAAATGCATCCAGACCATCTTTTTCAGGCTGGTGCTTCGCCGTTCCTCCTCCTCCTCGCCCTCGACACCAACTCCGTGACATTTCGCATGGGCTTCAAGGCACTTGAACGCATTACTTTGTTAAACCTTCATTACCACCGGTCCGTGCGGGGGAAAGAATGCATCCAGACCATTTTTGTCGTCAGCGGCGAGGCGGCGATCTCCGCTCCAGCGAGCAGCTGGATAGGGGCACCAACTGGCGCATTGGCCAGCGTGCAAGGAGGCAGGGGGGCGGCCGAGAGGAAGGAGGGACGCTTAGACGCCGAAGAGTTCGACGAGGAGCAACCGGGCGGGCTGCAGCAGTCGGGCGCGCAGGGCCAGAGCGCGGTTGGCGGCCGTGGCGAACCACGGTGGCAAGGGTGGCGGGGAGTGGCAGCATCTGCATCCAGACACGCCGGTCGTTGAAAATAGGTACAGTCAAACCGCATGGTACGGATGGGCAGTTTTCCCAAGGGTGCCCTTGCATCCTTGCCTCCTCGGTCCATCCCTGGCCACTTTCGTTGGCCGCGCCCCGCTCGAGAAGCTTCGAGATGGGCGTCCAAGGCCCTTGCATCCGATTTCCGCATCCTTACTATACGGGTTGACTGTAGTTCTGGATTCCCAGATCCCAATCTACTTGAGCCGCCTTTCTATTTCCAGAGTCGAGAGGTTATCCCTCTTCCCTCCTCTTCAGGGGGCGGGCGGAAACCGTATCT